AGAAGAATCTTTAAAAATTCAGACTTTTTCGAAGAGCACTGGTAAAAAATTAAATAATACTTGAAAATTTAAATCTTCTAAAGTGAAATATGTTGAAATGGTCAAAATTTTATGAATTTTCTTTGAAGAACGGATTTTAGGAAAATTCCAATTTGTTGAAAGATATCAATCATAAGAGGGGATTACAGGCTTCAAGTAGCTAAAATATGAATTTGTTTTATACACATAAGGTTACTAGCAAAAAAATAAGACTTTAAACATAAAGGTCTGCGCCAAAAATTCTGATTTTTCAAACCCAATTTGTCATAGACCTTAAATATTTTAAACTATGAATTTAGATAATCAAATTTTGAAATAAAACGTTTAAGCAAAGATATAGAAATTATAAATTTGAGCTAAATTGGAGTTTGTCTCAATTCTTTTAAAGGGTGTGACCGGCAATGTATGGTAGTTGAACGGAGACTGTAGTATTGTGGAGAAATTTTTAGGATTCATAATTGAGAAATATAAAACGTTTTAATGATGTATTAATACTGAATTTGAGCGCAAAGTCGACGTTCAAAATCATCCATTTGGATGGTTTCGTCTCGAGAATCGAGTTTTAAAAATTATTGAATAACGATGACAAAAAATGTAACAAAAATTCTGCTCTGAACCAATTAGATGTTTAGGAACAGGTTGAGAAATTATATAACTCTTATTATCGAAATAAGTAATCTTATTTTTGTTATTTGTTTCTGTAATGTCTCATTGTTTACAAACGTTTTCTGTAGATTTCCCGGAATTTTTATTGAAAAGACGACATTTGAAGAATATTAAGAAATCTGCGAACAATTTTGTAAAGAATAAGAAATTCTTTATAATGATAAAAAAGAATTAATTGATTCTAAATTGATTTATTGACAAATTACTTTTGAGAAATATGTTCTTAAACATTAAATTAGTTTATTTATTAAAGCAATGATATTAATCCTATTCCTGCGTTAAAAACTGTTGTCCCTGAAGTCTATGAAAGAAATTTGATTGAATATAAACAATATTATTATTATAAAGATTTATTCACACACAAAGATATAAATACATATATAAATGGTGTAGTTAAAATTTGTTTAAATAAATTTTTTTTTTTTTTTTTTTTTTGAAAACACAGGTTTCCAAAAGAAAAGAGAAAAAAATATGCAAAATTATGCACAAATAGAAAACAATGATTTTTACTCACTACATANGAAAGTGATTTGCAATATTCTGGGCCCCAACTTCTCCATCTATACAATTTGAAATTGTTGTATTTTGTCCCCGGAATTTCTTAATTTCTTTGAATATATCACCTCCTCCATTGAGCAATTTTTGAGTAAATTTATCTTGAAGTAATTGACTTTTGGCTCTCTTTAATCTTCTTATAGAATATTTATACTGCATGTGAGCATTTCGCTGCAAAATAAACAGTTCTCCCTCTCTTGGCCTCCCAGCTGCTTGCCAAACACCAAACCAGAACTTACTTTCAGCCTGATATGGTTTTACATATTCATTCCAACCTAAGATCCCTTTTGATTTTTCATTTGCCAGTCCTCCTGATTTTGGTAGGCACAACTTTGCTGCATTATCTATAGCTTCACATATTCCAGTAGCATACTCATCAATACTGGCATCATGATTCTGACAATGGAGAGTGTAGCAAAGGTTGCATTCCTGTGGTAAGCCTAGAGTATTAAGTCTTGTATCTAGATTATCTCTATAATATACTTGCTGCTCTAAAGATGCTTTACCCCAGCTAGGTTTTGGTGTGCTGGTTAACCTTTCTACTTCCAAATTAAGTTTATCCATATCAAACTTACAGAATATAGGAAGATGACCAGACATATTATCTGAATATATTCTAGTTTAGCTTGGATACAAATACCTGTGAGAATCCAATAATGGAGATTAGGAAAATGATAGATTTACTGAATATATTGATTGATGGATTGGAAACCCGTCCACTACTCAGATATCTTCAGGAGAAACTAAAAGAATTTGTAAATTAGAAAGTCAGATGAACCAATGAACCAATAAACCAATGAACCAATGAACCAATGCACCAAGGAACCAATGCACCAATGAACCAATGAACCAATGAACCAATGAACCAATGAACCAATGCACCAATGAACCAATGAACCAATGAACCAATGAACCAATGAACCAATGAACCAATGAACCAATGAACCAGTGAACTTATGAACCAATGAACCAATGAACCAATAACCCATTAAACCAATGAATCAATGAACCAATGCACCAATGAACCAATGAACCAATGATTCAATGAACCAATGAACCAATGAACCAATGAACCATGAACCAATGAACCAATGAACCAATGAACCAAAGAAACCAATGAATCAATGAAACAATGAACCAATGAAACAATGAACCGATGAACCAATGAACCAATGAACCAATGAACCAATAAACCATTTAACCAATGAATCAATGAACCAATGCACCAATGAACCAATGAACCAATGATACAATGCACCTATGAACCAATGAACCAATGAACCAATGATACAATGAACCAATGAACCTATGAACCAATGCACCAATGAACCAATGAACCAATGAAACCAATAAAATAAAAGAACCAATAAACCATTGATAAAATGAACCAATGAACCAATGAACCAATGAATATATTTACCATTGAGCCAATGAACCTTAGAATTGATTTGGATTAACTTTAGAAGTTCTTTCTGACAAAACAAAAACTCCAGTTCTGTTATGTTTGATGATGGAGCTAGAAATGCGCTAACTCAACTTTTGTTTTTCATAAAACTGCCAATTCACTGATAATGGAAAATCTGCGGAAAATATTTGTTCTTCCAAAAATAGAGGAGAAGAGAAAATAAATAGTCTAATTCTTCACTAGCGTAAGGTATAAATTAAGACGAAAGTTAGCATACCAAGGAAGAAAATGATGAAAATCATGTTGTTTGTTTATGCTATTTTGCAAGATGAAGAAGAAATTTTAATTAAGAAAGTTTTATGAAAATGAAATGAGTAAAACTTAATCTCATATTCTCATCTATACACTATACAGCTTCTCCTTTCTCAACATTTCATTCTTAGACTTTTTTTATAAAGCAATACTTTTGTTGATAAAATGAAATTTGAATTTTTAAACAATATTTGTTCAAAATATTTAATCTGTTCTGCATTTTTTTTTCTATAAAAATGTTTTTGTCTGTTTTATGCGATCACCAAATTTTGTAAAAAGTTCTCCTTGAGTCGAACGTGTATCATGATAAATTAGATGTGATAAGAAGGTTGGCAGAATGGCAGAAATCAGATTCTAAGCAAAGTTTGGAGGAAAACCATGAACTAAATTCAATTAATCAAGATAAAAGATTCTAATCAAGAAACTGTACTCTTCAAATAATTGATCCGAGATATTTTTTATCAGAAATATTAGAAGCAATAAAAAGCTCTCCTCCGTAATTTCAATAATTTTATATCTGTTAATTTAGTTTGGATGTCGGATCATAACTCAATAACCCCTAGACCGATTTGCCTCAAATTTTTATTGGAACCACATGAATGTTCTTATCTTGGGTTTACTTTGATTTAAAGATCTCAACCTCGCAAGCAAAAATCGATGAGAGTTTTGTCAATTGCTTCTTAAAAACCATGAAGCTAACAACAAGTGTTTATTAGTGTTAAAATGTACATGTAATGGGCTACAGAAAAGCATAAGTGAGCAAGAACGGTAAAATTAAAGCCCAAGCCGTTGCGACACTTCAAAGTCGACCCTTTCTTAAAATTTGATGAGACTTTCTATTAGCAGGCTGAATTTATATGGATTGACATTTAGTTTCCAGGCAAAGCTGGGTCTCCAAGCTAGTAGTAAAAGAAACCATTGTAGAAACGTGCTGCGTCTGAACTTTGTTGAGAAAATTTAATATTTTGTTTGAAATTCAAGTTTCTGGAATGTTATAAAAATATTATGCAAGCTAACACTGTAACCAAGAATAAACAGTAAATAATAGTTTAAAGTAAATAAAAATTCTTATAAAACTGTATCATAATTTTAGTATTTCACTACAACTAGACAGGAGGAGAAGGTCAAAGTAATGCAACTTTATCGTTGACCTCGTAGCTCCTCTGGTAATGATTTTACGCATGAGGAAAGCAGATTTAACCCCCCTCTACAATCTACATATCACTGTAATAATAAGATCCGGTTTATTTCAAGTACCGGTCCAAATATACCCGCTAGAGCAAGCTGTACAGTACAATTACAGACTATATGAGGCAATATTGCAGAATTACAAATTATAGACTTTTGCAGTTTATTTTGATTTAAAAAATCTATTACCTTGGAAATCAATTTTACTATAACGTGACCGTCCTATAATATTTTTTTTTATTCTCTTTGGTATTAAACAACTTTACAACTGTTATGTTTCGTGGGACCCCCTGTATAAGAGAAGTTATGATTGAAAGATTTCAAGATTTCAATCATATATCGATCATTTTACTTTAGTTTGGCGTCTCATGTTCACCACCATTGGTTCGGAAGATGCTGATTGGCTCTTGCATTTGAATTGACATTTAGTTTAATTAAATACTTTTATCTTTTAGCGCAATTCAAATCAAACTAATACAGTCGGGGAACTCTAACACTTTCTCGTTCTTAAAACCGAGTACTAGGAGGTAATGCACGTTTTATGCTGAACAATACCCCTATTGCTTGGTTTCCATAAGGCAGAAAACGAGCATTAAACCTTAATGCTTGGTTTCTATCAGGCAGAAAGCAAGCATTACCCCCTAACGCTTGTTTTTTTATAAGGCAGAAAATGAGCATTACCCCCTAACGCTCGGTTACAAGGGCGAGAAAGTGTTTGAGAACCCCAACTGTGATATTTCTCAAATTCAAGAAAAGCTCTATATATCATTGTACAGCAAGAATTAATATAAATGAAAAATAAAGATATTTCAGTAAAATAACTGTTATATTTCAGGAGGATGGAAAACCGGTGTTGAGGCTTGTCCAGGAGCATAATGCAATATTCTCCTGCATGGGAAACTAAACATAAACCAGTTTTCACGCAATCAAGATTCTCTGACAATAACAAATAGGAATAAGAAACAATGAAAACCTAAAATCCCTACAGTGTCCACTGCTGTACAGTTTTTGAAAAGCGCGCCAGAGCTGAGATTGCCGCGTGAATAAACATGAATTATGGCGCTAAATCTACGTGCTAAAGTGAAGACGAGAAAAAAACAATAAGGCACATCACAGTGATTCGAGTATGAAGATGGTTCTAATTCCTTTCATCTTCTTATTCCTCGACACTGGATGGTAAGTGTATTTTCAAAGAACCAATCTTAAAAATAAATGACCTGAAAAGGGATTAATATTTTCAACTTTAAGGAAACCCATGATGTATTATTTTTCTAACAGATAAATGCAATAATATTGAAAAGTAAACATTTATGTAATCACAACATTTAATTGTTAAATGTTTTAGTTGCACAAATTTGAGTTGACATAATTTAAATTTAGTCTCCGTTTTCTCAATTCCCACCGGTAACCTGTAAACCTACTTGTCTCATACAGATAGGGGTGATTTTACAGCAAATGCTTTACAAAATAAACAAACGGAGAAGGTCGAATTTATACGACATTACTGTTACAACTTTGCGACCTCGTACCTCCTCCTCCAGTTTTGATTTTACGCACAAGTATGAGAAACCCTAATTTATCTATTTATTAAAAATTCGAAACTTGTTTGGTCTTCACGCGTTTAACCCTATCCTATTGGGGTACTTGAAAACCAGGATATGCTGGGGGGGGGGGAATTTGATCCCTTCCCCCTCTAAACCCCATGTTTGCAAATTGGCAAAAATTTAATTTTTTGCAAAATCCAGTTATATAGTAAAAATGTTTGCAAAAGAAAATGTCCAAAAAAAATATAATTGAAAAGCGATTAACTACCGCATTTCAAATATGCAAAAAATGTGCAAAATTTTAAATAACCTGATGTGTAATTGAGAAAAACTAATAAATGTGCAAATTTCTTTTGGCAGGTTGTATGCAAAATATTTGCCAAAATTTCTTTGCAAAACTTGTGCATTCCGTTTTGTTATGTCATTGGCTTTCCAAAAAGCTAAAATTGATCGAAATCTGACAACTGAAAGTGGGTAAAAACAATGATTTAGTTTGTTACTGGAAAAAGTAGTCATTCAGTCAGTGTGCCTGAGGATTCAGGCAGTTAGTATTAAAGTCCGGTTTTAGACCAAAGGGGAAGGGCTACGGGTATTTAGGAAAAGTCGGAAAATTTCAACAACCTCAGTCCAATACTTTTTGAGTTATGTAAAAAAAGCTACAGGAAAGTCTCTTTAACATATTTTTCTCGCAGGTTTATTTTTACTTAATAATTTTATTAATATCAAAAATAAAATTTATTTCTCTTTGTACACGTTGAAGCTGCCATATATTCTTTAGATTGTATTTTTTTCTTCTCTCAGAAATCTAATGCATTATTCTATTGTTACCACAATACATTTATATATATATATGCTTGGGAAACTAATTATGGGAGATGTTGTTACTATAGTGTGTACATCTATAGAATACTTGAGGGTTAATTTAGATTCACCAATATATATACATTATTGCAGACACAATTAGTTAACAAAAAAAGTATTTGCACCCTCATGCAACCATCCTAATATTCATTATACAATCTTTTAAAATGAAAGTTTTTGTAATAGGAAAACTATTTTAAAAAATTTGATATTTCTTCAAAATTTTGCATGAAAAGTTTAAAAAGAAATGAATCAAGGGGTTCGAGATTTTAAATGGTTTCTAAGATAAAAAAATTCTTTTATAGTTCGATTTATTTCCAATATTTGATTCTTTTTGTTGCATTTTATGTGCATATTCTAAAACTTGTCTTAAACTTGGTTTGGGTCCTGATTACAAAACTCTGTTTGAATTTTAAAAAAGTTTGCATATTTTACCCTGGGATTGAAATAGAGAATTAACAGAAAAAAAAATAATTTTAATTTTTTAAATAGAAATTTTTTTTTCTAAATTATAGATGATGAAAAAAATTTTCAGGATAAAAAAATAGTCATTTCTAAAAATAGAAATGGAATGCATTTCAAAGATGAAAATAAAAGTAAACTCAATGAGAGGGGTTTAATTTCAATAAATTCTGTAGTTTTCAAAACTGGAGAATGAAGATATATTCACTAGAAATATTGAAACTGATGGAGCCGGATAATATTAGGAGTAACTAGAAGTTCAGTTTTTTGATTGTAGATGTCTCTGCTAGTCGAATATTATTGGCCAGGGTTCTCTAGCATTTCCCTAGAAGAATCATATTCATTTGGCGTACTGTCTCGGTTTGCCTTATATAGTCTTAATCGTGCGATTTGGCTTCAACGAAGCAGTCTTTTATGTGTACTTTTCTACTTTCTTTAACTGGTAACGCTTCGGACCGGTATAAAAACGAACCAGACTTTACAGTGGGTTGAATGTGGGTTGAAAGTGGGTTGAATGTGTATTGTTGTGGTTTGTTCTGATGCATGCGGATACTTTATCATATAATGTTCCTTCTCAAGGGAGGAGCCACACTGCTGCACCTTCGTTGATGGATTATTGGTACCATACTCACTTGTTTTTGGTATTACCATGGCTTTTATGTGACAGATGATTTTGTACTTTACGTACTTATTTCTTGTACCGACCAGACCAGACCTCTTGTGATAGATGAAATTTTACCATTACTCTCGACCACTTGGTGAACCATACTGCTGCGCTATGCCATACCGCTGCGCTCTAGTGACGGATTATTTGTACAGGCGTACAGAAATTGTAACGTACAAGTTCTTGTACAGGGCCGACTTCTAGTGACAGATATCATTGTACCCTACCTATATCTTGTTTCTACATAATTAATTATGAGACCAGTGATTAGCCGAACCTTGTTGTCAATCCATAAGCATATATAAAGTTGGTGTAATCCCCAGTGTATTATGTAAGACCCTCCTTCTCCCCTCTATATACTCATCACAGAGATAAAGATAAATGGTTGATAGTTCTGTAGAGGGTCTCTAGGTTTGATTTGGTACACACGTATTCTGTGTATATACATCTTGATTGATTGAAAACCAGATAATCGGAGAGTGCATCCGTCCAAGACATTGGTAAAGGGATTATCAACAAAATAGAATGTAATTCTCACTCCCAAATAGATTGTCAACCTATTTGCTAACTCCTGTATCCCAGGTCCATTAGTGCCTGATCCAATCATGGTTCAGTAATGTGTTTGCTGTCTATTCTGAACCAATAGAAATAGTATAGCTGTAGCATCTATTTTTCTGTCTCACTATCCAATTAAAGTTACGAATCCTTCAATCGGCGCTATCAGTATATTGAAATATTTACTTCTACTGAAACTGTAGTGTTCTTTTTACAATGTAAGGAGTAAATGGATTTTTAAAAAGGGTTAAGGATTATTTAGTAAACCTATTCCGGAGTAAACATCATTTATAAGTTAAAAGGACTAAACAGCCCTTTTCCGGATTAAATGTTGAAGAACCCTATCGCAAAGTAAGGATAATGTAGTAAACCTATCCCAGAGTAAGGATTATGCAGTAAGTCTAATCCGGAGTAATGATTATGCAGTAAACCTAATCCGGAGAAAGGATTATGCAGTAAACCTATTCCAGAGTAAGAAATTATGTAGTAAACCTATTCCGAAGTAAGGATAATGTAGTAATTCTTTCCCGGAGTAAGGATTATATAGTAACCTATCTAGAAGTAAAAAGTATGTAATAAACCTATCCAGGAGTAAGGATTATATAGTTAACCTATCTGGGGGTAAAAATTATGTAGTAAACCTATCCAGGAGTAAAGGTTATGTAGTAAGGATTATGCGGTAAACCTATCTAGAAGTAAAGAGAATGAAGAAAACCAATCCAGGAGTCAGTATTATGTAGTAAACCTATCCAGAAGTAAGGATTATGTAATAAACCTATCCAGGAATCAGGATTATATAGTAAACCTATCTGGAAGTAAAAATTATGTAGTAAACCTATCCAGGAGTAAGGATTTTACATGTAGTAAACCTATCCAGAAGTAAGGATTATGAAATAAACCTATCTGGGAGTAAAGGTTATGTAGTAAACTTATCCAGGAGTAAGGATTATGTAGTAAACCTATCCCGGAGTAAGAATTATGTAGTAAAGCTATACTGAAGTAAGGATTATGTAGTAAACCTATCCCGGAGTAATGATTATAATGTAGTAAACCTATCCCGGAGTAAGGATTATCTAGTAAACCTATCCCGGAGTAAGGACCGTGTAGAAAACCTATCCTGAAGTAAGGATTATGTAGTTAACCTATCCTGGAATAATGATTATGAAGTAAACCATACCGAAGTAAGAATTATGTAGTAAACCTATCCTGGTGTAAGGATTGTGTATTAAACCTATACCGAAGTAAGAATTATGTAGTAAACCTATCCTGGAGTAAGGATTATGTAGTAAACCTATAAAGAAGTAAGACTTATGTAAAAAAAACAATCCTGGAGTAAGGATTACCGAAGTAAGAATTATGTAGTAAACCTATTCCGGGTAAGTTTTATGAAGTCAACCTATCCCTAAGAAAAGACTATATAGTAAACCTAGCCCAGAGAAATGATTGAGAAACCCTGATCTAAAATCTAATCTTGAGTTCAGGACTAGACATTTATTTCCCAGATATCTTGAGAAACCTTTTACTCAGCTGAGATCTGAATAAATGGAGGGAAAATATAGAAACCAATTCAGGACCAATACAGGCATGTCATTAGTTTAAGATACAGGGTGGTCCTAATACAAGGTATATAAATACAGGATATAAAAATATAGGGTGATCTTAATACAGGGTATATAGATAAAGTGTGGTTTTAAATACAGGATATATAGTTTTTTTAGGAAATAAAGAGTTTCTCTGCATTATCGGTTTTGATTTGAGGGTTATCCCGTTGTCTATCTGTTCATTATTGAGAATCTTGTTGCTATCCGACAACAAGGATATATGTATATACAGGTTGCTCTTAATACAGGGTATATAGATACAGGGCGGACTATTTACGGGTACTTTATATACACAAAATATGCCCAAGTATAAAATATATTATTTACAAACAGTCCTGTTTAAGCCATGAATTCTCCTGGTAAGAAAAATCCCTTTAATTCAAGTATTCTCCAGGTCCCTCCAACAGCAGAGAGGACGGCAAGGTCTAATTAACTATAGAGAAGAGGAGAAGAAGATTCTAGATGAAATCCTTGGGAAGGGAGTTTATGACAATAGAATCAGGCCTTCAGGGACAAATGGAACAGGTAATTTACTCGTACTTTTTAAATTATAAACAGTGCAGTAGAGCAAAATAAACTCTGGAATAGGAATACGACTCACCTTCAACTAAGCTTTCGGTGTGTACTGCTGTGATTTTCATTATTCCGAAGAAATTGTGGGGTTTAGTGTAGAGTGGACTGTTAGACTCAAGCTAAATAAACTTTAAGCATAAAACAAACAATGTGTAGTTTACACAGACCCAATTCACTTAATAAGTTGCTATTGCATGGTAAAACTATACTGCTTCATAAGTTACATCAAATATAGAAAAGATTGTTTAAAAGTAATCTTAATATAGGCCATAGTTTTATGTGTCTAACTGTAGATTTTACAGATGAGACAATGTCAGATTTTATAGAGATCTTATCTATTCGGACACATGATGTATAGCTCTTGTACTATCTGTTACTAGAGTTTATCTCTGGCGAAACTAGATCTAAGAGAGCATGATTTTATTGATGGTTTAGATTTAAAATTAGATTCTAAACAGATGGCATACATTGTTGAAACGATTACGGCTCTTGTACTATCTGTACAAATATGAAATAAAATCCCAAATGAAATGGAGAATTAAACTTGAGATCAAGGTTCTTCTATAAACCACCATTCTATTTGTGGATTATATTTTAAAATCCCTCCCCCAGCACTCTGTGTTTATTTATCTCTTTTCAAAATATAGAAATGTTGTTTACAAAACTAAAATAAACATTGATAGAAAACAGATGGAAGAGTGATTTTTCATCTTTTTCACTGGTTTTCACTTCATCTGAAAAACAATCTGGCTCTTCCGATATCTTCCGATAGACAAATTACGGAAAAACTAAATCCGGAATAGACAAATGCGTAATAAAAAATTCGTTTCGAAAAATAAATGACTCCAAAAAAGTCAAATTACGGAAAACATCTGTTTCTGGAAAGAAATATTACGGAAAAACAACCTTCAAAAATACAAATAATTAACGGATATAAAATCTCCGGAAAGGCAAAATGCGGAAGTTGCTTTGAATATTTGATGTTATCGAATGTATCAGCTGTCAATATGAATTATCAGAAAAATGTCAATATGAAAATTTTACTTTTCTCCTCTAACAGTTAGAAAAGCTCGTATTTGCTGGATTATATTTATTTAATGTTGGTAATTCAAATTTATTCGAATATGCAACATTTAACCATCTTTTACAAACTTTAAAGTTTAAACAACAACTAAGAAAAATATTTAATTGGATTAAATATTTTATATTTTAAGAAGGGCAAACAGTTGCGGTTGTATTTGAATAATCTAAACGAAAGACAGAAACTACATTTATACTGCGACTTTTCAACTTCCAGTTTTCGGTTTTCGACAATAAAAAAAGCAAACTTTTTTGAGTGCACTGAAGATGTATATAAACCGTCCACCCTGGAGCCAAGATTTATATAAACCGTCCACCTTGAAGCCATGATGTATATAAACCGTCCACCCTGAAGCCATGATGTATATAAACCGTCCATCCAGGACCCAAGATGTATATAAACCGTCCACCCTGGAGCCAAGATGTATATAAACCGTCCATCCAGGACCCAAGATGTATATAAACCGTCCACCCAGGACCCAAGATGTATATAAACCGTCCACCCAGGACCCAAGATGTATATAAACCGTACACCCAGGACCCAAGATGTATATAAACCGTCCACCCAGGAGCCAAGATGTATATAAACCGTCCACCCAGGACCCAAGATGTATTTAAAATACAAAATTTCACAAAAACAAGATGTTGCAATTGAAATCCGAAAATGACTCTCTAAAGAATGTTATGAGCCAAAGTTAGGGATGAGCAATAGCAGATTCGTTTACAGAAACTTTTAATGTTTTTAGACGTTTAAAAGGTTTTACGACAATATTAGTAGTTTCCAACATTTGAAAACTTTATTCTGTAGAAGTTTGCATTTATCAAACATGCAAAGGAATTGAGTCTTTGCCACAAAATCTGAATTTATAATCTTTATATCTTTGGAACCCAATGTCGTAAATTTTGATATTTCAAACTTACATTATTTGATCTAACAAAATTCATAGTTTGAAATATCTAAGGTCTACGACATTGGAATCCAAAGATATAGGGTTTAGAAAAGTAGAGTTTATAGCAAAGACTCAATTCCTTTGTTATCTTAGAATTTTCTTCTATATAAAGCAAAAACGATTGTTTTAAAACGATCCCTTTTGCGGTTTAAAAACTGATTTTTTTGGTTTTTGCCTTATTTTTCGTAAAACATTTTAAAAAACTAAAAATATTAAAAATTTCTGTAAAACGAATTATAGCTATTGCCAATCCCAAGGCAAAGTTGTTAAAAATAATATACTTCATATAATACCAACAGAAAAAATCACATGTTAAGCCAATCTAATCCTTAATTATGTGAGGATGCATCTTAATCCTGATTCTGATATATGATTTCTTAATCCTTATACTGATGTTTGGACTTTTTCAAAGGCCTTTTCCCAAGCGGCAACTTCCCAAGGATATTTTCCCAAGTTGCAACTTCCCAAATGTGCATATTCCCGAGCGGCAACTTCCCAAGTATGTCCTAGACGCAGCGCTCGGCCCCAGTTGCAGACTGTTGCGCCTTAGAAAGCCTAACATAACCTTTGGGAAGTTGCTGCTTGGGAAATTGCACATTTGGGAAGTCGCCCTTGGAAATATACCTGATGGAAAGTACCTAGCACTCCTATACTGATCCTGATCCTAATCCTAATCTATAATTGTTTAATCCTAGATGATGCTACCCTCATCATGGTTGATCTGTACGTGAGAAGCTTTGCTAAGATCGACGATGTCAAGATGGAATACAGGAATTCTTCATAGTTAAAATAGGCTCCCCCCCCCCATCCTCGTCCTGCCCCCCCCCTCACAACCCACCTATCTATTGACATTAAACTTCGATAGGTTTTCATTTATTTCTAAATAGAAAATATACTGAATGCATAGTTAAAACAATGTCAACCAAGAATCAAATTTAAAAGAACAGAATGGTAATAAAAAAAAACATAAAAGCATATCAATGAATAGAATAGAATAAAATAGAATCGAATAGAATAGAATAGAATAGAATAAAATAGAATAGAATAGAATAGGATAGAATAGAAGAGAATAGAATAGAAGAGAAGAGAATAGAATAGAATAGAATAGAATAGAATAGAATAGAATAGAATAGAATAGAATAGAATAGAATAGAATAGAATAGAATAGAATATCCCCATACCATCAGAAAGTAAATTACATTTGTGACGATATGAATTTAAACAGGTTTATGAAAAAAAAACATTTCTCTAAATTATTAAACCATGAATTCTGAAATTGTATTGTCCAGTAATTAACTATGTTGTTATAGTAGTTCTACGAACCTAAATCTACGACCCCATTATTTTTTGTAGATTTTTTAAATTCAATTTTTTTTTACTTTTTGTCGAACTGTAATTTGTTGAGTTTTCCTTGTCAAATGTCAAGAAGTTTCCTTGTATAAAAAAATCGATCCAATGTCAAATATGTTGCAAATGTTAAGTGTTGCATCTATCAAATGTCTCACACTATGCTCGAAAAACATTGAATAAAAGATAAAATGTCAAATTAAAATCATATTTTCCAGATTTGTGCTCAATCGATGAATTTTAGTGTTTATATTTCGGACTTGCAACCTTACAAAATTGCAACAACAAAAATTCCACAATTGTAATTATAATATATTTTAATATTGTTTAGATCGGATAAAATATTTGACTATGACGGATGCCCGGAAAGTTTGGATGCCAGATACATTCTTTAGAAATGAGAAGGAGGGCAGGTAATAGTACAGGGGGTCTCAGAAATATTTAGGAGGGCAGGTAAATAGTACAGGGGGTCTCAGAAATATTTTGGAGGGCAGGTAATAGTACAGGGTGTCTCAGAAATATTTAGGAGGGCAGGTAATTGTACAGGGTATCTCAGAAATATTTAGGAGGGCAGGTAATTGTACAGGGTGTCTCAGAAATATTTAAAAGGGCAGGTAATAGTACAGGGGGTCTCAGAAATATTTGGGAGGGCAGGTAATAGTACAGGGGGTCTCAGAAATATTTAGGGGGGCAGGTAATAGTACAGGGGGTCTCAGAAATATTTAGGAGGGCAGGTAAATAGTACAGGGTGTCTCAGAAATATTTAGGAGGGCAGGTAATAGTACAGGGTGTCTCAGAAATATTTTAAACGGCAGGTAATAGTACAGGGTGTCTCAGAAATATTTAAAAGGGCAGGTAATAGTACAGGGTGTCTCAGAAATATTTAAAAGGGCAGGTAATAGTACAGGGGGTCTCTGAAATATTTAGGAGAGCAGGTAAATAGTACAGGGGGTCTCAAAAATATTTAGGAGGGCAGGTAATAGTACAGGGTGTCTCAGAAATATTTAGGAGGGCAGGTAAATAGTACAGGGGGTCACAGAAATATTTAAGAGGGCAGGTAAAAGTACAGAGGGTCTCAGAAATATTTAGTAGGACAGGTAATATATACAGGGTGTCTCAGAAATATTTAAAAGGGCAGGTAATAGTACAGGGTGTCTCAGAAATATTTAAAAGGGCAGGTAATTAGTACAGGGGGTCTCAGAAATATATAGGAGGGCAGGTAAATAGTACAGGGGGTCTCAGAAATATTTAGGAGGGCAGGTAAATAGTACAGGGTGTCTCAGAAATATTTAGGAGGGCAGGTAAATAGTACAGGGAGTCACAGAAATATTTAGGAGGGCAGGTAAAAGTACAAGGGGTCTCAGAAATATTTAGTAGGACAGGTATTATATACAGGGTATCTCAGAAATAATTAAGAGGGCAGATGACAGTTCAGGGGGTCTCAGAGGTGAATAAGAGTGAACATGATATTTAAATTGGGTGTATCAGAAATGACGAAGAATGTATTTAAAGAATAGTTGGAACTATAGTATAAGATTGTGCTAATCTAGAATTCACTTGAACTAGATATCTACAGCGAACACTTTTAATTTGAAGGGATTAGGTTCTTAATCCGTGAAAAACAGGTGACTTATATTTAGATTATGGTGGAGTTAAATTTTTCCTTTGAACTGCAAAATATATGGATTTGCCTTGCTGAAAGGGGATTAACAATACAAAATATCCAACCTCTGATATTCCAAGTCCAGTAATATTCGGATTATAACCTTAAAAAAAAAAATTAACAAGCAAAATTTTAACCAGATTCAATGTTCTTAACCCCCTTTATAAGTTCGTATCCCCTTCCTTTTATGGAATATTAAGAATTTAATGGAACAATAGATTCTGATAGAAAACCTGGTTTAGTTCCATTTGTAGAAACCTTGAACAATTTCCTCCTTTGTTGTGGATAATTTGATAATAAAATGCAATATATTCTTTTATACCTTCTATACCTTCTATACCTTCTATACCTTCTATACCTTCTATACCTTCTATACCTTCTATACCTTCTATACCTTCTATACCTTCTATACCTTCTATACATTCTATACCTTCTAAACCTTCTATACCTTCTATGCCTTCTACACATTCTATGGTTTAAATATTAAACCAGCTGCAGGCTACAACATAAATAAAAGATTTATGAAAAGTTTGATAACAAATAACGATTATTTTTATAAAGATTCCACAACATTTTGGTCCCGAATGTGTACATAAGAATATTCCCAGATGGCTATGTACTCTACAGCATAAGGTACATAAAATCTTCTCTTAAAGTAGTAACTAGAAAATAGTGGAAGGATTGACGTCTTCTTTCTTTCTTTTTGTATTTGAAATATTGCTTACGATTATGTAATTCCTTAAGTAACTGCAGTTTATTTCTAGAAATGTACGTCCTAAGGATTTTTGAACATTATAACAATTGCAACTCACAAAAGACATTTCTTCGTCAAAAGAGAGAAAAATATTCTGGCCAATTTTGTATTTAAAAAAAATTGAGAAAAAAGCAAAAATAAATTGATAATTGCTAAAAATATTCAGGGTTTCTTTAACCCTGGCCTGCCCTATGAACCTGAAGCTGTACCCCCTGGATCGGCAGAAGTGTTCTCTTAGGGTTGCCAGCTGTAAGTTTTTAAAAACATTTTACGACATAAATCATAATATAGCTTCGGTATTGGTAGAATTTAATTAATTTTTCTGTCGTGAATTTATCATCATTTCTCAATAAATAATCAATTATCATCATTTCTCAATAATAGAATCAATTATATCATTTTTCAATAATAGAATCAATTTTCATCATTTCTCAATAATAGAATCAATTATATAATTTTTCAATAATAGAATCAATCATATCATTTTTCGATAATAGATGCAATTTTCATCATTTTTCAATAATAGAATCAATTATATCATTTCTTAATAATAGAATCAATTATTAATATATCTAAATAATAGAATCAATTATATCATTTCTCAATAACAGAATCGATTATCATCATTTCTCAATAATCGAACCAATTATTATTTCTTAGTTTTAGAATCAATTATTATTATTTCTCAATAATAGAATCAATTATCATCATTTCTTAATAATAGAATCAATTATATCATTTTTCAAAAATAGAATCAATTATCATCATTTCTCAATAATAGAATCAATAATCATCACTTCTCAATAATAGAATCAATTATCATCATTTCTGAATAATCAAACCAATTATTAGTATTTCTTGGTAATAGAATCAATTATTATTATTTCTAAATAAAAGAATCAATTATCATCATTTCTCAATAATAGAATCAATTATCATCATTTCTCAATAATAGAATCAATTATATAATTTTTCAATAATAGAATCAATTATCATAATTTCTCAATAATAGAATCAATTATATCATTTTTCAATAATAGATGCAATTATCATCATTTTTCAATAATAGAATCAATTATTATTATTTCTCAATGATAGAATTAATTATCATGATTTCTCAATAATAGAATAAATTATCATCATTTTTCAATAATAGATACAATTATCATCATTTTTCAATAATAGAATCAATTATTATTATTTCTCAATGATAGAATCAATTATCATGATTTCTCAATAATAGAATAAGTTTTCATCATTTCTCAATAATCGAATCAATTATTTTCATTTTTCATTAATAATATAAATTATTATTATTTCTCAATAATAGAATCAATTGTCATGATTTCTCAATAATAGAATAAATTATATCATTTTTCAATAATAGAATCAATTATCATCATTTCTTAATAATAGAATCAATTATCATCATTTCTCAACAATAGAATCAATTATTTTCATTTTTCATTAATAATATAAATTATTATTATTTCTCAATAATAGAATCAATTATCATTATTTCTCAATAATAGAATAAATTATATCATTTTTCAATAATTGAATCAATTTTCATCATTTCTCAATAATAGAATCAATAATCATCACTTCTTAACAATAGAATCAATTATCATCATTTCTGAATAATCAAACCAATCATCATCATTTCTTAATAATAGAATCAATTATCATCATTTCTTAATAATAGAATCAATTATTATTATTTCTCAATGATAGAATCAATTATATCATTTTTCAATAATAGAATCAATTATCATCATTTCTTAATAATAGAATAAATTATATCATTTTTCAATAATAGAATCAATTTTATCCTTTTTCAATAATAGAATCAAGTATCATCATTTCTCAATAATAGAATCAATTATTATTATTTCTCAATGATACCATCAATTATATCATTTCTTAATAATAGAATCAATTATCAATATTTCTAAATAATAGAATCAATTATATCATTTCTAAATAATAGAATCAATTTTCATCATTTCTCAATAATAGAATCAATAATCATCACTTCTCAACAATAGAATCAATTATCATCATTTCTGAATAATCAAACCAATTATTATTATTTCTCGGTAATAGAATCAATTATTATTATTTCTAAATAAAAGAATCAATTATCATCATTTCTCTATAATCGAGCCAATTATCATCATTTCTCAATAATAGAATCAATTATCATCATTTCTCAATAATAGAATCAATTATTAATATTTCTAAATAATAGAATCAATTATATCATTTCTCAATAATAGAATCGATTATCATCATTTCTCAGTAATCGAACCAATTATTATCATTTCTTAATTTTAGAATCAATTATTAATATTTCTCAATAATAGAATCAATTATATCAATTCTCAATAATAGAATCAATTATTGCTCAAAATCAAAATAATTCAAATAATTATATTCTTATTCATAAAATAAATTCAATATTAAAAATTTCTTCGATTTGGGTGGGACCAGTTGATCATCCATCCACAAAAAATGTATTGTACATGTGATGTACTGTTCCTCTAGCTGTGTACAATGTACATGTACATGAATACTGTAAAGAAAATAAAAAGGTTGAGACCTGTCTTATGTTTGTGGAAGGATGCCAGCTAACGATGAATAAATAATGTGACAAGGGATGTGCACTGGAATTTTCTGATTTTAAATAGAAAGGGAAAAAAGAAAGCTTTGGTTTTGTTTTGTCGTCGACATTTTTTAAATGAAACTTTAAAATTACTATAGTCAATAAGGAGCATTAATAGTTTAATAAATTGTTCTAAAATCAATTTAAAAAAAAACTACAAGATTTCTAGTTAAGAATACTTTCTTTGATTTAAGCTAAGGAAAAAAAAATCTTACAACAAATTGGATGATTTATTTTAAATTTGAGAAAAATACAATATTAGAATTGAAAATACCAAATATTTTCAGTTTTGGAAAATACAATTTTACGTTAAATATTCTTTTAAAGTACGTATAGTGCTAACAAAGAAAATATTAAGAAAAAATATTATTTTTTTAATTTTTAAATGATTTTTTGGGAATATTACCGTAATTTTCTTGTAATGATTTTTTTGTCGTTCCTTCATCTGAAAAAAGATCTTGCTTTTCTCTGCTGCTAGTCATTCAGAGATTGAAAATGATCAATTTATAAATTTTGCTCTCAAAAAGATTTAAAGGATACTTTTGTTTTGGTATGCAAGTCTTGAAATTACGTTGACAACCCCTTTAAAATATTATGTTAAAGATGGTTGGACTACTGGTAATTTCCTAGAGACACATTTTTGGCCCCCCCCCCCCCCTCCTATCAATTTTGTACATTTTGTAAAATTGATCATGTGGCCGCACCGCCGGCCCCCTAGGCCATCCTAGACGCAGTGCTCGGCCCAGAAATTGTCTTAACCTAACCTGACCCTCAATAATAAAAAAGTAAATGTACAAAATTGATAGGAGGGGGGAGGGGGGAGCGGGGTGGTCCAAAAATCGTTCTCTAGAAAGACTCAGGACAACTTTTAAAGGTACCGTTGTGAATCTGAACTGGATTTCTTTTACATTTGTAATTTGAAACTCAACTTTGAAACTACGTCGACAGTTCCTTTAAGAACATTATGTTTCAGATGGTTGGACTACTGATGATCTGAGGTACCAGTGGAAAACGGATGGACCTGTACAGATTGTCAAGGATTTACATCTACCAAGGAATAGAATTTAGAAACTAACATACAATGGAATTAAATGGAGAGACTTAAATTCTCATTCTTAAATTTAAAAATGTCTGCTTTTTTCTTTAAAGCCCAATTTTATCTTAAAACTTAATTTGATATTTAATCATAATTTATTTGATACCTTTGAAAGCGACATTTTTTCTACTAAATTTTCCAACATAACATGGATAATTAACAGCTTCTCTTTGTTAACTTCCTTGTACACTTGTAATTTGAAAGGCCTTGGTATAAATCAAAACTTAAATCGAAAAGACGTCTTCATTGTATTGATACAAACGCCGACCATTGTAACATGTTTTTCATTCATAATACTTCTTTTTTATAAGTTTTTAAATTTTATATTGTTAGATTCACCCTGGAAAAATACGTATCAGATTATTGTAATATAAAAACTAATACCGGTAGGTTAAATCTAGGGTTAAATCTAGGGTTAAATCAAGGGTTAAATCTAGGGTTAAATCAAGGGTTAAATCTAGGGTTAAATCTAGGGTTAAATCTAGGGTTAAATCTAGGTTTAAATCTTAATTTTATTTTTATTTCTAAAAACAATCATAAATAAATTGGTAACCTTTTTAAAGTTTCATCGTAATTGCTCCGGGCTAAAACAAATTAATTTTTTTACCATCATAACCATTCCCTCATTAATTACTTTACACGTCCCTTGGGACAATTAAGAAAAATAAAAACGCGCTCTGAAACCCGTGAAAAAAATCGCCCATTTTCATCTCGAAAGAGACAAAATTGGTCTTGTGAACCCTTGGTAAAGTAAAATTCCCTTATCTTCATTGTCAAGTAGTTGGAAATAAATATAATAGAATTTTTACAATATTTCAAATCCTAAAATTCGCTGATATCCTTTTATCAAATTGGAAAATGTTATTTTTGACATTTTTCACATTTTCAAGTACAAACATTTTCTTTCTTCTGTCAATGGTTGCATCCGCATCAACCACCCCAATTGTTCCAGCTATTATTTATGGAAGCTCTCAACTTTATTACAAAAATTCATAGAAAGCTTTCTTTTAATTAAATCTTCTTTATGCCGTGGACCATTCTTAGACGTACTTTTCGTTCTCTTTCAACCCCCTCCCCCCCCCCTTCATCATACCTTCAGCCCCCCTTTGATATTAATGTCTACATCTGCCACTTTCCAATAAATGATATTATGATATTGTATAAATGAATAAGAAATAATTGCCTCTGTTATGTATATTATATATATATTCTCCCTTCTTTTCTGTACCTCTTTACCTCTTCAACTCTTTATCTCTTCAACTCTTTACCTCTTCAACTCTTTACCTCTCCAACTCTTTACCTCTTTACCTCTTCAACTCTTTACCTCCTTACCTCTTTATCTATTAACTTCTTTTCTGTACCTCTTTACATCTTCGACTCTAGTTTTCTGTTCCTTTTTTCGTACCTCGTTACCTTTTCAACTCATTTTTTTTGTGCCTCTTTCTATACCTCTTTACCTCTTCAACTCTTCTTTTCTTTGCCTCTTTCTGTACCTCTTCAACTTCTCTTTTCTGTATTTCTTTACCTCGTCAACTCTTCTATTATTCTGTATTCTCTTTCTGTACTTTATAACTTCTCCCTGTATCTTTAAGTCTGCAGTCTGTTCCCCATATCTGTATGTTATTTGTATCTCTGTTCAGTACACGGCCCAAGGATAGATTTACATTTATAGAAAATCAGTTTTCTGTACTCCATTTATGTTCTCTGTACCTCCTAGCTGTTTGAACTTTATTCTCCTGTCTGTACTTTGTATGTAGTAAATGTCGCTTGTATGTAATACGTACATTCAACGTATAAACATGTGTGGAGATAGCTTAACTGCGTTATCAACCCTCGCTAATCCTATAAATATGCACATCTTAAATGCGCCTATTTCAACTGTACTGTAATACGTAACATGTGATATAGATAACGACGTTGGAATTGTAATCACGACTTTTAACTTTTACTTGTACCTTAAATATAGCTAGTTAGAATCAGAACTCCGCTTTGAGTTTGATTACAGTGTATAGTAATTGTATCTCGTTGAGTATTCGGGTTGAGATCATAACTCGTTTAGGGTAGAGATAGATTAAGGGCTGAATAGCCAATAGCTTGTTGTTAGCTAGACTGAAACCCTGTTTTGATAAACAGGTAGGATTTCCCCCATCATTTGGGATCAATATATAGCTTGTTGGTAGCTTCGCTTGTACCCCTGTGTGGTATTTAAAACCGAAGTAATAACTTGTTTATAGCTACCAATGTGTCCCTGTGTGGCATTTAGAGCCTGAGTAATAGCTAGATTGATAAGCTAGCCTACGCTTGCGTCTCTTTGTGGCATTTACAGCCTGAGTCCCGGTTGGATAGCGGACTAGTTTTGTCTGTACTGATACAGTTTGGGGGACGAACTTTTAAGAGTAGGCATTTACTACATGTACCCATGTTCTTTGTATGAGCTTTTACTCCCTGTATCATGGTATGTACTCTGCAAATCCTGTACCCTGTACTCTTTTTACCCTATAGAATTATGTTCTCTGTACTTATGTGTACATCTCTCTGTACTCTGTACAATTCTCTCTATACTCTGTACCCTGCATAATAACTGTTCTCTTTGAATAAATTTTCTATTCCCTGCAACACAGCAGGAAACCTTGATATTAAACAATTAGTTTCCCGTCAAACCTAGAATAATTATTCTCTTCTAGGTGCCCTAGATATTCAAGGTTTTGGCTTATACAAAAATACGAACGAAGCCACAGCGCTTTGCCGGCCTTACCAGTTGCTATCGGCTAAATATTTTTGTGCTAGGATTCTGCCAAATAATATACAGTACAGTACAGTACAGTACAGACCTAATTTTTTGTTATTGTACAGGAGAGTATAGTTGCTTGACCGTTGATCTGACGTTTAAACGTGAGTTCTCCTACTACCTCCTCACTATCTATGTGCCCTGCTGTATGCTGGTCATCGTATCCTGGGTCTCATTCTGGCTGGATCCTAATGCTGTGCCAGCCAGGTAATATAAAGATCAAAGCTAAGGAATGGCGCGCCATTCATAGCTCAAGTCAAAGAGGTTTACAAAGTGGAATGGGGGGGGGGCTTCTTATCAACAAATGTTCAATCTAACTTTCAAATTTATGCATCAACCTTTGAGACAAGGTCAAATTTGAAGTTTTTTAAGTTAAATCAAAATTTTCTAAGTGTATAATATCTTTTTCAAATTTAAGGTGCAAAGAAGGTATACCTCAATTTTAAAAATCATTGCACATACAACCGTTTTTGACACCATCTTCGTCATTTATAAAATAGATCATTTCCATGTCATTTTTTTATTTTAATTGGTACACCCTGTTTTTTAAATATATTTATAAAGGTATATATTGTATACTTAGATGCTTTGTTTACCAACAATCAGTACAGTAAACACACACACTAACTATTCTACATATATTCTACACACTGTAGAGTTATACAGTTTTTCGATAATAGGACAGGGGGGGGGGATGGGTTGGATGGGAAGGGGGGGAGTCAGGAAGTTTATTGTTCTTTTATAGTATTCCAGCAATAAAAGATAACGTTTTTTTGAAAATATAGAACACTAGCCAATAAAATAATTACATTTGGGATCACTGAAGTGCACTTGAGGAATACATGGTTTAATGTTACTACTGATAAATATTTATCTATCAAACTTATATCTTTTGTTTTCTTTTTATTGTTTACATTGTTTACAAATAAACAAAGCGAACTGGAAATTATAGTTCATGTTTCAAGTAATCATATCTCCTGATCAAAAATAAACAAAAATTTCCTTTTTTATTCATTTTAAGAATTCTTTCCTCAAGAGCATAAAATCGATATAAATAAGGAAAACTTTAGAACATTATATTTCAGCTTAATAAATAAATAATTAAGTGGAGATATCCTTGTTATTCTATCTTACAATTGATGTTTTTAAATCACAAGTCCCTTAAAATAATACTTTTCTCAGGGTATCCCTTGGTGTGACTACTCTACTGACCATGTCGACCCAGCAGGCCAGCATCAACAACTCCCTGCCCCCGGTAGCTTACACAAAGGTCAGTATAAAATAATTTCTAAATTTCCCAAAAACATATTTTTATAAAATATTGTTTTTCAATTTTTATTTTAGGCCATAGACGTGTGGACCGGAGTTTGTATTTTCTTCGTTTTCGGGGCCCTTCTAGAATACGCACTGGTCAACTACGCTTCAAGATCAGATGCTAACGTAAGTTTTTATGTGTTTTTTTTTACATTTTTACAAAAATTATGTAATTAAGAGGAACCCCTTTTTTCAAATCGTCATTTTCAGTCGCCATGTTTGGGTAAAATAGCATAAATTTTATAAGAAACGACATTCTCACACAAAAAGGAGATTATTACAGAGAATGGAAGAGGAGGAGCAAACCGACCCAAGAAAAAAGCCAAAAATAGAAATTGTCCATGTTAGATGGAAAATGAATTTGGAGTTTCTCGTAGAACATGATTTTAGCAACACGGCAGGGTGGATGCCAACTAACTTAGGACAGATATATAGATAGATAGATTGATAGATAGATAGATAGATAGATAGATAGATAAATAGATAGATAGATAGATAGATAGATAGATAGATAGATAGATAGATAAATAAATAGATAGACAAATAGATAGATAGACATATAAAGAGATAGACAGATAGACAGATAGATAGACAGATAGACAGATAGATAGATACATAGACAGACAGACAGACAGACAGATAGATAGACAGATAGACAAATAGATAGACAGATAGACAGATAAGTAGACAGATAGACAGATAGACAGATATATAGACAGACAGATAGACAGACAGATATAAAGACAGATAGATAGACAGATAGATAGACACGCAGATAGACACATAGATATACAGATAGATAGACAGGACAGATAGACAAGAAAGATAGACAAGACAGACAAGACAGAATAGATAGATAGATAGATAGATAGATAGAAGACAGATAGATAGACACGCAGATAGACACATAGATATACAGATAGATAGACAGGACAGATAGACAAGAAAGATAGACAAGACAGACAAGACAGAATAGATAGATAGATAGATAGATAGATAGATAGATAGATAGATAGATAGATAGATAGATAGATAGATAGATAGATAGATAGATAGAAATATATTCAGTGACCTCTGCTTAATTCCCCGATGTTTTTGCAGAAATAGCAATGTTTTTATAAAGGATCTTAGGAGCATATTTACACTCTTCTTGGTGTTTAGATGTTAACATTGGGATATTAGCTTTGGGATGTTAACTTTGGGATGTTAACTTTGGGATGTTAACTTTGGGATGTTAACTTTGGGATGTTAGCTTTGGGATGTTAACTTTGGGATGTTAACTTTGGGATGTTAACTTTGGGATGTTAACTTTGGGATGTTACCTTTGTTATGTTAACATTGGGTTGTTAACTTTAGGCTGTTACCTTTGTTATGTTAACATTGTTATGTTAACTTTGGGTTGTTAACTTTAGGCTGTTACCTTTGTTATGTTAACATTGGGTAATTAACTTTAGGCTGTTACCTTTGTTATGTTAACATTGGGATGTTAACTTTGGTTTGTTAACTTTAGGCTGTTACCTTTGTTATGTTAACATTGGGTTGTTAACTTTAGGCTGTTACCTTTGTTTTGTTAACATTGGAATGTTAACTTTGGGCTGTTAGCTTTGGGCTGTTACCTTTGTTATGTTAACATTGGGATGTTAACTTTGGGCTGTTACCTTTGTTATGTTAACATTGAGATGTTAACTTTGGGCTGTTACCTTTGTTATGTTAACATTGGGATGTTAACTTTGGGCTGTTAACTTTGTTATGTTAACATTGGGATGTTAACTTTGGGCTGTTAGCTTTGGGCTGTTACCTTTGTTATGTTAACATTGGGATGTTAACTTTGGGCTGTTAACTTTGTGCTCTTATTTCTTTAATACTATTTTATTCATCACTCATTGCTAGTGTTGTTAATCGGTTTGGATCATTTTTTGAAAACTTTTACTTCGAAGATTACAAACCGTATTATGTAAAACTTTGCAATATTTCAATTTAAAAAAAAAATGAAAACAATCCAAAAATTGAAATAGTTTGAGGCAAGTGTTCAGTTGTTGGTGTTAAAAAGTTTTCTTCAATTAATGAGATTACATTTTTTTAAATAGTTGAAACTTTCATACCTAGTTGTACTTTTTATAAATTCATAAAGTAAACGAGTCTTTGTCACAAACTCAAAATTTTCTAATCCTTACATCTTTGAGACCTGATAGAGAAGACCTTCAATATTTCAAACTTAGATGATTTAATCTAACAGAATTTATGATTTAAAATATCTTTAAGTCAACAAAGATACAGAGATTCAAAATCAGGGGTTGTGACAAAGACTCAATTGATTGCCCTCTTTGCAATAAAACTATCCACTATTTTTAATACTGCTGGTTGGATGATATTGTAATTTTCTTGTAAACAGAAGCACTGCGCTGTTATTTATAAGCAACAATAATAAACTAGTTGACAATAAACTAGTATTCCCTGTAGAACCAGGGAATAACTAGGCTTCCCCCAAGTTTTCTTTAACAATCACAATAGGTCTACGAATAATTCCTCCTTAATCGTTAAAGTGCAACAAACATAGTCTATAAACTATATATATATTTGGTGTAACACACATAGTCTATAAACTATATATATATATTGTGTAACACACATAGTCTATAAACTATATATATATATTTGGTGTAACACACATAGTCTATAAACTATATATATATATATTTGGTGTAACAAATTACATTAGTTTGTACTTGTATACTAGTACATAAGTTTGTACTTGTGTACCAGTACATTAGTTTGTACTTGTATACTAGTACATGAGTTAGTACTTTTGTACTATAACATTTGTTTAGTCAAGTGAAGCAGTACACAAGTTATGGAACCAGTACACTTATACGTTTTCAAATCAATTTATACTTGTTTGGATCGAGGAATTGTTTTTTTCCTTTGGATCTTGAAAACCTAGCATATGATATGATGCATAATGAGAAAGAGAAAATAGTGGATTTCTTTTAATAATTTTCAAGTTTGCAATTGAGCATTTTTTTAAAAGTATCCTGAACGTTTTTAGAAACATGTCATATCAACGTTGACGTATTTTCAAATTAAAAAGTAATTCTGATTTACATTTCTTTACTTTAAGGATAAACAAAAACGAAAGTCAAAGTTTACGGTTAACATGGAATAAATTTTGGGTGTTCACAAAAAAAATGTCAAAATCGATGATTTTTGAAGAAAATAGTGGCCTATGTAGATGATTTAATGCAGCAGTATACTATGCTTTATTCTAGATATATCAATTTATCACGTTAACACAATTATTATATGACAATGCACTGTATATATCCTGCAGATTAAATTCTATATAGCCTTAATGTACAATATGTAAATATTCAGGATAAAAAGTACTTTTCCTCGTTCGAGAAAAAACATCATTTAATTTACCTGCAGGCTACATTTTATTGTTTTCAAAATTACAAAAATGTTGTTATTACGAGCAAAATGTTAGGGGTATCTCACAATTTTTCATATCCTAAACTTTTTGTTCATAATTCCGAGCACAATATTGGCACAAATGTGTTTAAATAATGTAAATAGACTTTTTTCAAGTCATTGCGAGTAAATTAAACCTTCAGTTTGGTAAATTTTAGGTTTTCATTAATGTCTTATTCTCTAGAAATTAGAAACTAGAAACTACACCCTGTATGTTCGTAGACCCTTTTGTTTCATTGAAGACCCTTTCTTTCATAAGAGACCCTTTTGTTTTATAGTAGACCCTATTGTTAAATCGGAGCACCTTTTAATTCATTGAAGATCCTGTTGATTCATCAAAGACCCTTTAGCTTCATCGGAGAATAGTTTTGTTTTATTGGAGACCCTGTCGGTTCATCGGAGAACTTTTCGTTTCATCAAAGGTCCATTTATTTTGTTGTTTCATTGGAGACACTTTTGTGTCATTGGAAATCCTTTCGTTTCATCGGACACTCTTTTGCTTCATTGAAGAAAATTTGTTTTATCGGAGACCCTTTTGTTTTATTGGGGACTCTTTTTTCATCGGACACCATTTGTTTAATCAAAGACACTTTTTGTTTCATTAAAGAACCTTTTATTTCATCGAAGACACATTCGTTTCATTGGAGACATTTTTGTGTCATTGAAAACTCTTTCGTTATATCGAACCGGAGACCCTTTAGTTTCATCGGAGACTCTTTCCTTTCACGGGAAACTCTTTTGTTTCATCGAATACTGTTTTGTTTAATTGGAGACCCTTTTGTTTCATCGGAGACTCATTTTTCATAAGACTCTTTTTTCATCGGAGTCGACCCATTGCTTCATTCGAGACTCTTTTGTTTCATTGGATACCATCTTGTTTTACATATACCCTTATGTTTCATAGAAGATCCTTTTAAAATCGCTATTTCGTTGGAAATCCCTTTTTTATTCTTAATAAAAATTGAGAAGAGAAGAATTATTTTTTATTCCTTTTCTTTAAATATAATCCTCGATCAAATCCTTTCTCAGAGATTTGATAAAAGATTCTCAAATATATTCTTCTCTCTTCAAAAATATTTGTTAGAGACTAAATTGAATTGGATTATATATATATATATATATATGTATATTGTATATATTCTGTAAAATGTATTCTTTAAATTGTATATATAATGTATACTGTATGTAAACAATTTACAATTTAAATTACATCCTTGAAATTGTTCTAAACTGTTTCTGTAATTTAATCAAATGCAAGGCTTGAAAGAATAGTCGATGCACTTTTGAAAGAAAATTAATGTTTAAGTTTAAGTTTCAGAATGTACTTTACATTTTAAAAAATTACGATGAATATTTTTGGAAAATTTTATTTGCAAAAAGGATTTCTTAGGATATTCTTAATTCTACAGTTTTTAAACAAGATACTGTCATTTTAATTGTGATCTATTGTCGCCGGAAACAATTTAACGTTTTGGGTTAATATTAGGAACAGAAAAACAGCCCCACCCCCCTTCTCCACCTTTAGAGAAACTGTAAATTTTACTGTTTTTGTTTCAGCGGATCCGGAAGCGTAATGCCAAGAAGAAAATAGAATTTGACCGAGCTGCGTTTGATGCCGAACATATGGAGGAACACAATGGGGGATCTTTTCCCATGGTGAGAAAAATATAGAATTTTACAAATTCATAAAAAATTTACTTTTTACAGGGAGACTTCTAAAACTATGGAATAAGAAGATCGCATTTAAACATGTAATGTTTATTTAATAACGTTATGAAGCAAATGGTTTTACCAATACCTTGAAAATCAACTTATTAAGGGAAATGGGTCTGTGTACACTACACAAATTCTGTGCTAAGTTCATCGTAATATAAAATAATAGTTTGAGTCTTACTTTTCCTCAGTTTTATGGGTCTTGCTGTTAATATTTATCAAATTTTGATAAAATGCTATAAAAAAATGCCAGTTGTGTGAGAAAAATTTATAAAAACACACAAAATGATTTAAACATGTTCTTTTCAGAATAATAGAATACTTTATTTAAAGCCGAGAATAAGCATGGAAATATAAAATAGAAATGGCAGGAAACCATTTTCCTTTATTTTTCACTTTGCACATAACATATTCGCAAGCTTTAGGCAGAGCTTTTACAGAATTGCAAACCAAAATTGTGTTTTTGCAAAACAAGAAAAACAATCTTTAAACAGCAAAAGCTTTGTTTGTTCAACTTTTACATTTAAACAGAAATGAAAAATATTATTTTTTCTTTTATTTTTTAAGCATGTTCATAAATTCTTATGTGAACACATTTCACAAATTGCAATCATATTTAAAATCAATATTGAATGTCACACTTTTAAAAGATCTGAAAGTTATTTTAAGATTATAAAGTTAAAAAGACAAGCATGCTATTTCAATCGTATTTACTTCTCTTATTCAATTATTACTATTTGAGCAGTAATGTCGGTTAAAACAATTAAAATATAAAAAAGTAAAAATGGCTCTCCTTAGTTCTTACTGTGCAGTATTTTTATTATTAAGTAAAATATATAATCAAATTTCAATTGCTTTTAATAATTAAAATAAATATCACCAAGGGAACTATTTTAACCCTATGAAGTTTTTTTTTAGATTTAATTTTATGGGAAAATGTTACTTCTTGAAGATGTATAGCAAGATTTAGAACCAAAAAACTGTGGAATGTGAAGACGATATTATAAAAATAATTAAGTGTGTTTAATGTTTTTTCAAAGCAATAAGTTTTGTTAGTAACTTATCAACTCATTAATTAAGTCAAATGGTTTATTTAAATTGCTGTGTTTCTTGTCCATATTCGACTATGTATAGTGAAAACTTTTGCGTAAAAGTCGTCTTTCTATTCCAGACTTTTCTGGTGCTCACCGTATTCGTGTCATAATCATTTACATCCCATGTTTTAAATCTTATTAAATCCATCAATCACGAACTCAAAATTCTTTATTTGACATGAAGGAATCGGTTTAATACTGTAGTTTTGTGTCTTAGGAAGAAGTTCTTATGAGATTTCCTTTACAGAAACATAAAATAGAAATAGAATATTGATATCTATTCCTTTGTTAATATTTACGATTTATATATTTGAGAATGTCAAGTTGTCAACAAAAAACAAATGTATTTTCTTCAGAAACCAATGATGCGACGAAGCGGTGACGCATTAATCCCTGGCGCAAACTTCCCGATCAACAATATCCATCAGTGCGAGATCCACATGAAGCCAAGGAAACGCCAGAACTTCCTCATGGCCTGGCTCAACAAGTTTCCCTCCAGGGCCAAGAAGATCGACGTTCTCTCCCGTGTAATATTCCCTTTATCACCCCCACCCCCCTTCTCCCTTCCTTCCCTTTTATACATCTTTTCTTAAGCCTTCGTAATTGATCAATTTATTTCTATTCAGGGGAAAAATACGTTTCTATTTATCAAGTTTATACTTTTCCACTGCTAAACCTTTCTATTTACATATATAAAATATTTCAAGTCTGATTTATTCGTTTTATTCATGGGACTCTGCCCCCGCAAATCTATTTATGCCTTTGGAGCAACATAGATTTATAAAAATCCATATAAAAGAAGAAAAGAAATAGTTGGATTGGTAGAGAGTCTTTTAGGGGTTATACTTCAATACTTCAAAAATTTACTATAGTTACCTACAAAACAATTAGGCTGTAATGACGACCAAAAGCTCATTGTATATATAACGATGTAGTGTTAAAATAATGTTTTGCCAGAATTTACTGATGTTAAATAAACCGGTGGAATCTGCACAGTTGTGATTTCTGGTAACCAGGCAAGCGCAGTTAGTTTGGGTTCAAATCTGTTTCCAAATGTGGAAATTGAGAGGGAAAAGAGCCTGACACCTTGTGAAGTACAGTGCACTGCAGAACAGTACAATACAGTACATGAAAGTATTCTCAAAACTGTACAATAATTAATGTACATCCAAACAAACAGCAAATAAATACAAGTTCAATTGAGAACAATACACTGTACACTTGTCACTAGTTAGCTAAAAAAAAGTTACACATAGCTAGAATTTAGCTAATATAAGAATACAAAAATAATCTAACTAGAAACATAAAGTACTTAAAAAAGTGCAAAAATGTAAATTGAATGCAGACAAAAAAAATGTTGATTATGTCGTTTTATAAACTGGAATGTTCAGTTAGTAAATTGTAATATGTCAGTATCTACGAGACTATGATGCTCAATTTGCAATGTACATTATGTGCAGTACACGCTACAAATTATTACAGTCTACATTGTACAATATCTAGGTTTCTAAATTCTAAGTTCTAGTTTTTAGTTTCTAGTTTCTAGTTTCTAGTTTCTAGTTTCTAGTTTCTTGTTTCTAGTTTCTTGTTTCTAGTTTCTGGTTTCTAGTTTCTAGTTTCTAGTTTCTAGTTTCTAGTTTCTAGTTTCTAGTTTCTAGTTTCTAGTTTCTAGTTTCTAATTTCTAATTTCTAATTTCTAATTTCTAGTTTCTAGTTTCTAGTTTCTAGTTTCTAATTTCTAAATTCTAGTTTTTATAAAATAAATTGCATTTATTTTAATGTTAATGCATTCAATACATGCTTAACGAACTTGTCGAAATATAGATATATAATATATCACAGAAACATGTTCAATGTACACTGCATTGTACAGCACTAAACAACATTGTACATAAGATGTAAAATGTACAGTAATATATATGTGTCTAATGTGGTAAACCAGAAAAATCTAAAGTAGATGTTTGATAAAAGGATTTAATCTAAAGGGATGGTAGAATAGTTTAAATGTATAGACCTGAAAATTAACTTGTTTATTACTACTAATTAGATTTTTATTGATTATATACAATTTAGAATCTTATATTATATATCTCAAAAGGGGGGATGGGGAAAATACGATATCAGTATAATTCATTTTATGTTGCAATAAATTTGTTAAAAAATTGATAAAAATGGAGAAACAAAATCTTTAGAAAAAAGGGAGCGTTCCCTTTTCATCCAAGGTGCTCAATTCCGTTTGTAAACCTTCGCAGTTGTGACTCTTGATTACCAGAATTATTCTACGATTAAGAACTTGAAGCATTATTATGAAGAAATAGCACTTGCAATTTTTCTAAAATAATGTTAAAATATTACTGGTTACCATTTTGCTTGTATTTGAGGGGTAGTTTCTGTTTATATATAAATGTTGTCTACACATATATTGTAAACTATATGTTGTCAGTTTTGCATTATCTCCAATCATAGTTTTTTTTTCTGACAAAAAAAATGCATTTTTGGTTAAATAAAAAAAGAATCTCCCCCCCCCCCCCCTCTCGCAACTAGCTCCCCCCCTGTTTTATGTAAGAAGGTCTCTTGATTTATCATCGCCTTCTTATTCAATGTTGCCAATAACCCGGTCTTTGCTCAAAAAGCAAAAGTTACAAATTACTGTTTTGTTTAAATATGTTAATAACTGTGATACAATCACTTTAAAATAAAAATTAGGAAACTTTCTTTTTATTTTCTTTTTGTTAAATGAACGAACAGAGAGATTGTAAATAGACAGTTATCATTATTTCATTATAATGATACTAAAGTAAATTGCTCGTGAGATTGAAGTCTAAAACTTTATAAATCATAACTCCTCTTATTAAAGATCTATTTAAAGAACACAATTTGTTAAATTTCCAATTTTTGGCCGAATAAACTTGTTTTATCATATTTGTGATTAAAATCTAATAAAGAGGAGCTACGAGGTCACAAAGATGTACCAGTAATATCGGTTAAAGTTGACCTTTTCCTTCTGTCTAATTTGCAGTGACCGGGTAAAACTGTTAGTGGCTTAAGAGATTGAACTCGTTCTCCGACTAACTAGCGATCGAACTTGTTCTTCGAAAAATCAAGCGACTGAACTCGTTCTCCGACAAATTTAGGGATTGAACGATCGTTATCCAAAAAATTCAGCGATTGAACTCGTTATCTGACAAATTTAGCGATTGAACTTGTTATCCGACAAATTTGGAAATTTAACTCGTTGTCTGACAAATTCAGCAATTGAACTCGTTACCTGACAAATTTAGCGATTGAACTTGTAATCTGATAAATTCAGCGATTGAACTCGTTATCCGATAAAATTAGCAATTTAACTCGTTCTCCAATAAATTCAGCGATTGAACTTGTTATCCCACAAATTTAGTAATTGAACTAATTATCCAGCAAATTCAGCAATTGAACTCGTTATCCGGCAAATGCAGCGATTGAACGTGTTATCCGACCAATTTAGAAATTTAAATGTTATTCGACAAATTCAGCAATTAAACTCGTTCTCCGAAAAATTCAGCGATTTAACTCGTTATCCGATAAGTTTAGCTATTGAACTCGTTATTCGACAAATTCAGCAATTAAACTCGTTCTCCAACAAATTTAGCAATTGAACTCGTTATCCGTCAAATTCAGCGATTGAACTTGTTATCCGACAAATTCAGCAATTGAACTTGTTATCCGACAAATTTAGCAATTGAACTCGTTATCCGACAAACTCAGCGATTGAACTTGTTATCCGACAAATTCAGCGATTGAACTTGTTATCCGACAAATTCAGCGATTGAACTTGTTATCCGACAAATATAGGAATTTTACTTGTTTTCCGACAAATTCAACAATTGAACTTGTTATCCGATAAATTCAGCGATTCAACTATTTATCCGACAAATTCAGAAATTGAAATCTCTAAACTTCTCTCAAAGGCAACATCCATTACGGTCGCAATCTAAATGGTATCTGGAAATTAAATGGTATCTGGAAATTAAATGGTATCTGGAATAAAGTTTAAATTTCCGTTTCAAAAAGTCCAATAAATATTTATTGATATATTTTCTCTTAAGTCTCTGGTTTGAACTTTATAATGAAAATCATTAACATTAATCTCAGCTTTTAACACTGGGCTACTTGGTTTGTAAACAAACAGACAGACACCCTACATTAACAAACAGACATCCGATATAAACAGACAGATATTCAACATGATCCAACAGACAACCGACATAAACAGACATATACCCAACATTTACAAACAGACATCCGACATAAAAAGACATATACCCAAAATTAACAAACAGACATCCGACATAAACAGACAGATAGCCTACATAAACAAACAGACATCCGACGTTAACAGGCAGCTGCCCAACATATTTATACAGACGCCCGACATAAACAGACAGACATCTGATATAGAAGCAATGTAATAAATTAACCAAAAATGAATTAAGTAATGGATTTATTACTTTTTCTGAAACCTTTCTAAAAATAAATAATAAATGAAGAAAGTGTGTTTAACCCCACACAAGCTGGGATCTTGAAAGATAACCAGCGGAGGCGGGGGGGGGTGGGGTGGTCATTTATTTACATTTTGTTATGTTTTCAATTATTAAAGTTGTTACCTGCAGCTTGGATCTTAATCTTATAATTGTCACCATTTTAAAAATAAGTTGTGGAATAAGAAGACGATTTGCTGTATATATAACTGAAAAATAATATGGAATAAAGTACCCCCCCCCCCCTCGGTTTGGCTTACCTCTCTCCAGTCGCTAAGGGTTAAGTAAGAAGGTTGAATGGAAAACTTATTTAATATATTCATCTATGCATAATACAACACTTCCATCATAACAAGATATACTTTAAGGGACCGTTCACTTATTTGGATTTGTTTAGAGGGTAACAATAACTATATATAACATGACGGTTAAGTGACGATAGATAGATCTTTAAAATTATTTGCGGCATTTATTTGTCAAAATACTTTTTTTCAGATGAATAAAAAATAAGCATAAAATTCTCGTAGTTCTGGAATTTCTAAACTGTAGTCTGCCCTTTTTATGCGCTCTAAATCCGCGTAGATATAAAGAATTTTGTCTTGAACCGAGGAAATCTGAAGTGCCATGGATCACCTGGACATTCTTATTCAAGTAGGTTTTCGGTAGCACAAAATAAATTGTAAATTGTAAGATAAAAGAATCTAAGTTGTAAATCTTATGTTTAGATACATTAGTGCAGTAATAATTCTCCGACCTACAGTTTAATTCAATAAAGAAGGTTAAAACACAATTAGGTTTCATGGAAACCAATATATAATAGATTAGATTAGAACAAGATGGAAGGCACTGGTTTAGATTAGATTAGGTTGGATTAGAGACTACTTTATCTAATTTTAATACAGATTCGATCAAATATAAGAAAACCAACATAGATGTTTTACTTCTAATTTATAAATATGGTACTCCGATGGGGTTTTGAATATAACGTTTAGCCTTAAAAATATTAATATTTAACATCATTCACAAAAAAGGGGTACTTAGTATTTTTTTTGCTGCCACATACTGGGATTTTTTAA